TTTTTTTTTTTTTTTTTTTTTTAAATTTTTAAAAAAAGTCTAAAGTAGGGGGAACCAAGCCTGCTGGCAGTGATTTTGGAGAAGTCTTGAATTCAACTGCAAATGCTAGTGCCACCGACACGGAGCCGCCCACAGAGCAGACACAGGAGAGCCTGTGAGATCGCTACCTTTGTTCCACTACCCACTGCCAGATGCTGCACGCAAGATCCAAGCACATCTTGTCAACAGTCATTGCTGTGGATTTCTACCAGATGTGCTTTTATTTAGCTTTACATATTTCTTTGACCAAATAGTTTGTGAGTTAAACAAATGAAAACGTCTTCACTTGCACTCCCAGGAAACACCTTGAATGTGCATTCAGGGCCCTTTATTTAGGGAAATACTATTATTCAGACACAGGTAGTACCTGCAGACACTTGCTAGAATGATCGGAGAAGCTGCAGGTGATCACAGTTGCTTTCCTACTTTACAAAATTGCTCTGCATCTGAGATGCTACTTGGATCTTTGTTTTCTAGATGATTTTTTTTCTCCTTTGACTCTGTATATTTGATTCCTAACTCAAATTATTCTTTTAAATTTTCTGAGTCCTGGTTATTAAAAAGTTTTTGTGCCATTTTATTTACATTTAAGGGAACAACTTAACAGTTACAAAAATTTTGTTTTTGAATATAAACACTGTTTTTGTATAAAGTACATATCTTGGGTGTGTGAAGATGCCAGACTAAAGTAAACAGCTTTAAATCCAATTTGTTATAGTTGTGTGACAGTATATATAGTAATTCCAACTACTGGGTGACTTGGGAGTAGGACCTCCTCATATCTATAACTGCCATTTGTGACTAAAACCATTTCAGCATATTTGTTATTTTGCCACTTTATCAACTTTTGACAATATTAAAATTTTAATTTCAGAGTAAATGAACAGTTGACCAAATAACAGAGTCAAGCCTATCAGGTTGAAATATAGGTGTGCTCATCAATGTTCAGTTCAAACACCTGAAGTGTTTTAGGCCTTGATAGCTGTAAACATGGTAAGCTCAATCACATAAGGGGAAGCAATGCTGTCTCCATTTAATCCATTTAGCAACTTTAAAAATAAGCACACAGTTATGACTGATATAACTTGAACATTTTTCTACTAAGGTGTTGGTGATAACTCTTGAGGGTGTAATTTATTAACAAAAATGAATTCCTCATTCTCTACTTGTTTGCAATGTTAGAAGTGATACTGTAGACACTGCTCCTACTTTGAAAGCTGGATGTAGGCTAGTGATCAAAAATGAATTCCTCATTCTCTACTTGTTTGCAATGTTAGAAGTGATACTGTAGACACTGCTCCTACTTTGAAAGCTGGATGTCCAGGCTAGTGAATCAAACCCTCTGCAGAGGCCAAGGTACTCTAGTAACTTAATAATTATTGATTTACACCACCACTGCCACCATTTCCTTACTGCTGTATGTTTATGGCCTACAATGTTCTCTGTTATTTATCAAAATGTGATTGTTTTCTTGTTTATGCCAAATATTAATTGCCAAGCTTCGAGTAACCTAACACAATTTTTAAAAGCATGACTAGATTTACTTGAAGATAAATTCTTCTGAAAACCCAATTTGAAAAGCCACGATGATATAAATGACATGCTGCCATTCTTGATTGCTAGAGCTTTTGTTACCACTTTGGATGCAATGGAAACTGTGCTCTATGACATGTGCAAAGCTTAATAAATTCTGCATATCAGTAGTATAGGTCTCAATATTTATTATGAGGCCAGTGGTCTGGAAACAGCTTGTTGTATTAAAGAGTCATCTAGTGTCTATCCTTTGAAAACTGTATTTCACTATCAAATCACTGCTTAATGCTATCAGACTAACTCTTTAAATCATTTCCTTCTAGGGGCTTCAGGCAAAGATTGTTGAAGTTTTGTCCCAGAGGAACAGATATGTAGAAATTTGTCACTTTATAGAAATATTATGGTTATTTAACATAGCTGTTAAATTATTATTATTTTTTTTTTTTGGTGTGTTCCAATATCTTCTCATCATATTGTTTCTTGGGTGTCCTGCCCTGTTCTATTTTTCAGCAATGGCAATTTCTTTAGGTAAGAGAAATATCTTCAAATCTTTTTTCCCATCATGAGGAAAAATGGGTGTGGGATATGGGGGATGGGTTTATGTAGGTGAGTATTGGGGGTGGCTATAAAAGAAATGGGAAACTCCCTTTCCTAGATATCTTCCTAATTTAAAAATTATTTAATCTGTTATACAGTACTCTGCTCCTAGAAAAGATGAATCCAGAAAAATGTGAATTTAGAAATATTCACAGTGTTCTTTGTGGCAGATTTGGTATGACAAATTGAGATATTTAGGAAATTTGAAACTGGTTAGGACTGCTGGAAAGTGACCCTGGCTACTCTTACTGTTTTGTGTTTAACATTATAACAAAACAGGAGAAAGAAATCTGATATTTATGAAATCTCAGATATTTAAAGACCTTACACAAAGCAGAGTCCTTAAATTATAGTTTGTGGGAAATAAGGATAGGTCAAAGTAATCTATGAAGACAACTCTAACTGGATTATCCCAGCAACTCCAATTACTGAAACAGAAAAAAACATTTAATTTGGATCATTTGTGGATCTGTTAAGATATACATGGTGTATTTTTTGTATTTTAAAGCAATAAAAATTCTATTAATTTGGGTATGGGTTGTTTTGTATGTATTACCTGTCAAGCAAAGGGGCAAGTCTATTAAGCAGCTTCTCTCAAACCCTTCATAATCTGGATATGTAAAAAACTGTAAGTACCTGTGTTGAATCAACGTATGAAGCAAAGTGAAAAAAAACAAAACAAAACTTCATGCTGGCTATTAAAATGCATGTATTGGGCTGGGGGTTTCGCTCAGTGGTTCAGCCCTCTGCCTCAAAAGTGCAGGGGCCGGAGTTTGATCCCTAGTACCACAAAACAATGAAAAATGCGCGTATTAAATGACTATTTTCTGTATATATATTCCAAAGGAAGTGCTGCATAAGGCAGTTTGTCAAGACTACGTTTTAAGACAAAGTTACACTATGTAATTTAGGCTGATCTTTAACTTGTGGCAATCCTGCCTCAGCCTCCCAATTGCTAGGATTACGTGTATGCCACTACACCCAGCTTCTTATAGGTCTTAAAACCAGATGGGAAAAAAAACCACGCTTTTGCCTGTTGAAGAGACATTTGGCCATTGATTAATCATTTTTTTAGTGACTATCCATTGAAAGTGGATTGATTATAGAGACTGTATAAAAAGCACTATCAGGAAACTTCACAATTTCATTTTGCTCTGATGCGGATACTCTAATGCTCTGAAGGCTTTTCACCCTTAGTATGTTAGGCCTCAGAGGGCAGGGCCTGCCTGTGCCTGTCACCTGCCAGCACTACATCAGTAAATGCTGTTTGGTTAATTCAATTCTTGCCAACTCTCATATACTTTTGGTGTTACTAAAGATGTTGGTAGTGTGATTATTTCAGTTTGGTAGTTTTCCTACCATGCAGTAAAAGCTAAACAAAATTTTGTTTGAATACTTATGTGTAAGGGGATATACTTTTTCATTTTGACACTTAAGCATAAACATTTTCCTAGGTTTCTTAGTTTCTGTGTTATCTTCCAATTTGACTTTTAATATTCTTTCAGCTCCTTAAATGTCACTGCCTGTCCCTACTCATCTACATGATTCCTTTAATCTTAAAAATGGCTTAAATGACTGTAGACTTGTTGTGTCTCTAGATTTGTCCTAACAGGCTCTTACACTTGATTAAAATGCATGAATTTCTAACTATCTGCTGGTCATTTTGCTTGTCCATAATAGCCACTTTCCCAGGTATTTCACTGTCATTTTAAATTCTTTTCTCAGGGCTATGGTAATGTAGTAATTTTATATATGAGACCATAGCCAGTAGACATAAAGCCAGGAATTAAATTATTTTGTTTCCTTGCCACCTCCCATTACTAATATTTTTGCCGTGTGTATTGACAACCTGAAAGCTATAAATGAAAAACTGGTCTGTATCTTTAGTAAAGCAAGGAGGAGGGTACTGGTAGAGCAGGGTTTGAATCCTTAAGAAGCTATAATGATGTGAAGACACTGCACTACAGCAGATGTTCCTGTTGATCTTTGTGTAAGCAAGAAACCTTGCAGACAATCCCCCCTTATTGATTCAGTCTTCTTCAACCCTACTTCTGATGCTCTCCCAAAGGCAGAAAACTAAGGTATAACTTGAAGTTAGTTGATAACAAACTTGTTTTCAATTCTGATGATTTTGGCATTAAAAAAATGTTTAATGTGAAAGTAACCTTCAATCTTCAAGTAAAACCGAAAGCTTCAATAAAGTACATACAGTTCATCACATTAAAACTGCAAACATTAAGGGGAAAAAAGATAAAACATTTGTCCTCAAAATGTCTTGTCACAGTTCTTAAGGAGCAATCATCTGGTGAAGGCAGGGCACAAATATCACATATTTACTTTTTATTAATTTATTTTTTTAGAGACAGAGTCTCTCTGTAGCCCAGGCTGGCCTTGAACTCATGGCAATCCTCCTGCCTCCACCTCCCGAATGCTGGGACTACAGGCCTGTACCACCATTCCCACTTTTTAGTGAATTTTGAATTTTAGAGCTTGGACTTTGTAACTCCACTTGTTCTGTTCATAGTGATGTAAAGTTTACAAGGCACTTCCTTAACAGTACTGTGGCAACAGCTTGGTTTCACTTGTAAAACCAAGTGAACCAATATGAAATGGGCTTGCCTAAAATAAGGTTTAGCCAGGACTGCACCTGAGGGCTCTCAAAGGTCGCTGACCATGCTTTTTACAACTTACAGAGTTTTATCTTTAAAGAAGTGGAAGCAGCTACAGCCAAAAAATAATACAAAACTGTCTTAGGCAAGAGTCTTAAATGTTTAAGGGAAAACAGTTTTAAATGCTAACGGGAGAACTCACCTGGAGAATTTACCTTAAAGCTTCCACTGAATTTGTGTTCTGTACACTGCCTGTGCCACACAGGTTGAAAACGTAAGACTGAATTAAGTCCATTGTCAAACACATTTCACAGGTAAGGTCTATGATCCTAAAATTTCCTTATCTCAGAGTACCTTTAAATGACATGGAAAAGTGTGTGCCACATGTCCCCCAAAGTAACTAAATGGTAAACATAAAACTGTTGGGTAAAAGATTGAAACGATAAACACAAGTTTGGCGTTGGGTTTAGTTTTGAAGAGGGTGAGCAAATTCTAAAAATTAACATTGAGGCTAGAAAAATAAAAAGGGTGGGAGTCCCTGGTGATGCAATGTGGGCACATTCTGAAAATTTTTAAATAGATTAGAAGGGATAGTAGCTACCTATAGGTGACAAAATATCTCAGAAGGATTACTATTTTCATAACCAGGGTGGACTGGCCGCAGAAGTGGCAAAGTTGGGTCCAGGGTTTCCACACGTCTCTTTGGGCCCTACAGTGTGTCCACTGCAGGGGTTCCAAGAGCAAGTTCCTACTTTAATGGAATTTGCAAAGAAGAGGGAGCAGACTAAAAATTATTTCAAGTACAATATATGACGTATTAGGAAGTGCTGAATGGTACATGGAGAAACAAGTCCAACCGTGTCCGAGCTGCCAAGTCTAACGGAGAACCTCGGAAAGAGGAACGAGACAGCCAATTATGGGGAGACCCCCCCCGGACGCGAAGGACAGCAAGAGTGGTATCACCACGTCCCCCTGCGAGTCAGATACTTCCCACTCAAATCTTACCGCACTTCCAGCCACTAACGATTTGGTCCAATTTTGGCTGAAGTATACGCGCTCCACTCTCCTGCTCCTAACAAATGCCCGCCACCCTTCAGCGCTCTAAGGCAGGTGGGCGGAGGCCTCGTAGCCCCGCCCCTTGACCCCGCGCTTGCGGAGCGGAGGCCAAAGGTCAGAGGCGAAGGCGTCATGGCGGCGCTGTGTCGTACTCGTGCTGAGGCAGCGATGAGTCGTTTCCAGCAAGTGTTTCTCTTCTCTTGGCGCTTTCGAAGCTCGAGCACTGACAGTAGCTCCGGCAGCGGGAATTCTGATTCCTCAGAGCCTAAGGCGCGCCTAGGGGGCTTCGCGAGCGCACTGGAGCGGCACTCCGAACTGCAGCGGAAGGCGGAGCTCGGGCGGGTGAGGACTGACGGGAGCATCGCCCAGGGCGCGTGGGCCGGCCGGCGCAGGGGGTGGGGTCACGGCGGAGACGCTGCGGGCG